GGGCCAAACTACAGGGGGCTGGGCCACATTGTTTTTTCAAGTTTGGGGCCTTGAAGCAATTTTTCCTTTTATCTATGCATATACATATAATAAAAAGAATATATTAGTATTGGATTAGAATAGATTTCACTCTAGTAAACAAAAATAATATTCATAATATTAATTAAATATTAAATTTAATAGAAAAAATTTAGCAAAAATAATGAAAGTTTTAAAACTGATATTTAATGACATATGAGTGCATTTTGGTGATTATGAATGAAACTTGAAAACATTTTGGGAAAATTGTTTTAAAGTAGTATTAGATCAGTTAGTTAATTAAAGATAATTGGCATAATTAAGAAATATCAAAATTTAAAAGATTAAAAAAAATTTAAAAGTTTTAACACCCTAGTCCTCTTTTATATATATATATATGAGGTGTGTCTTGGGCATTTTGTAAATGGACAAATTTTCAAAATAGTCCCATTTTGAAAACTTATCATAAAAAACGACCTCATTTGAAAATAATTGTCAAAATCGACCCAGTTTCAGCTGTCGGGCTGAAACTGGGTCGGTTTTGACGAAAAAAACTTTGAAACTTCACGGGACTTCCCGTGAAGTTTAACAGCCTTTTAATTAAGCTGCTAAACTTTACGGGACTTCAATTCCCGTGAAGTTTTAAAGTTTTTTTCGTCAAAACCGACCCAGTTTCAGCCCAACAGCTGAAACTAAGTCGGTTTTGACAATTATTTTCAAATGAGGTCGCTTTTTAGGAAATTTTTTTGTAAATGAGACTGTTTTAAAAATTTGTCTGTAGATAGACCCATGTCCCATTGCCCAATTGCGGATAGACTCATTATAGTTTTGTTGTTGCAAATGAGCCCATGAATCTTCCTCATAGAAAGAGAAATTTGTTTTTTAAGAAATAGTACAAGAGTCTAAAAAAATTCACTCAGGGTCTATCCGCAACAATAAAACTAAGGGGGTATTAGCCCGTGATTTGATGGACTCAAATAATCTTCTTCGCAATGCCAACCCGAAAAAAAAAGACTCAAATAATCTTCTTCGCAATGCCTTCTGATTTTGTGAATGAGAATTAATTTTTAGATATACAACAAGAATACACTTCAGCGGCTCGGCACATGTGGAAGAAATACAACTTAGTTACATATTAAGCATTAGATCATACAAAGCTGAAAGTACAAAAAGGGGGGAAAACAAAATTCTCTGCATCAAAATTCATTCCAATTTTCATGCCTCCATCCATTTCTTCAGATAAATCAAGTGCCATGCATATAAAAAAGCCCTTCGCGAGATCCCAACCAAGCGCCCCAACTATAGTTTTGTTCGAATGGATTCTCATCTGAATAAATGCCTGCAACTAAATGTTGGTTAGCAAACCGAGTGCAGTAAACAAACAAGTAATCAGAGTGTACTATTGATTGATAATCTTTTGTACCTTGTGGCCAACAAACAGTTGAAAGAATTGAATTTGAGACATTTTCCTCAAAGATTAGCTCACTGGTCTTGATGCTCCAGATTCTCACATACTGGTCCTCACCGCCTGATATGGATGTTTGCAATATCGAATCAGTTTTCTGACAAGTTATATGAATTGCTGATAATCCTCTTCACCTGTGCCTTTCAGTAGCACTTATCGCATCTCATATAATTTATTAGCACACTTCCCACCCCTGGAGTGACATTTTGTGAAGGATAAATTGTAGATAGCGTTAATTGCGGTTAGACCCCCTATTGTCAATAGGGCTGCAGATAGACCCACTGAGTGGACTTTTCACCCTTGGAGAAAGAGAAATTAGTGCTTGAAATATAGAACTCCTGAGAGTAAAAGAGTCGAGAAATCACTCGGTCTTTACGCAATTGGGCGATAGTACACGGGGTCTATACACAACAATAAACTACAAGGGTCTATCCACAATGGGGCAGTAGTACAGGGGGTCTATCTGCAATTAACACCCGTAGATAACCCCGCATTCTCACGAATTGAATGGCATAAGTGCTAATAAATGAGTTGAGAGGGTGATAGGTGCTACTGAGGGCATAGATGAGGGAGGTTATCTGGAATTTATCCTATTTCAAAATAATTACCCCAAAATAATTACCAGATATCATAAGTGTTTCAGATGGATTGACACCAAGCTGCAGATGACTATGTGAGTTTACATGCCCCTCGTATGATTGAATAGCTCCTCTTTGGAGAAGATGGCGATCGAAGAGCTTGATCTGCAATGGCAGTGAAGAGAAATCTAACTGATGTCAATAATTGAGAAGCAAAAGTCTATAAATTAGCTTATCACTCTAAGATGATGAAGAAGAGATCAAGATGCTAAGTAAACAAAGCGGAACAGGATGAAGAAAAATCTTCCAAATAACTTAAAAGATGATTCCAAAGAGTTGCTGATGCTAACCAATTTCACATAAATGAGACAATTATGGTAACAACTTGATTACTTTCTCCAGCCCTATTCATATATAGGTTCTTCAATCCCAGCACTCAGTCAAACCAATTTTGACTACAGCTTTGCAGGTTGATCCTTCAAATGTCAATTTGAGATTTAATATTTCTATCCCACCGTTATTATTTGAGAATACAAAATGAATTTTTTTTTTATGTTACATAATTGCGGGAGCTAAAGTTTCGGCTCTGAAAAGAGGAGCAACGCGGGCTAGACCTTTCTGCTCCGAAGCGAGAAAGAGCCGCATAAACCCAACAATCATGACAAAACACATGCTACTGCATATCTAAATATATGAACAAAAACAAAAAAGAAATTAAGATCAAAGCTTCAAACCCAACAATCATGACAAAACACATGCTACAGCATATGTAAATATAACAAACAAAAAGAAATTATACATTTGTGCGAGATATCTAGTGGAATGATACAACATATTAACTCACAGATCCATCCATGGAGCTCCCCAAGAAGTACCGATCATCAGATTGAAGTGCCACCAAGCTGCATTTCGGTATATCACTTTCAGATAAGTGAAACAGATACAAGAAAGAAACACAAGTTTCTTACAACACAAAATAATACCTGCAAACAGATGAAGACATGAACGTGCGATTAGAGGAACACTTTTTCTGCAAGAAAACTTAAAACAATCACATTGGTATCATGAAAGATGCGGAAGGTCTTCTATGAAATGGTTCCTTACGTCTGTTGAGAGATAGATATACATAATAACTGAGATAAAAAAATGATTACCAAAATATAGGGACTACTTCATTATAATACCTATTAAGCACGAACTATCTGAACAAGTAATGCAAATAATCAGCTTGCAGGTTGATGGCCTTAAGAAAGATCTGGCTGAATACTTCTATGAACCTTTTTCTAGACATTTATTTATTGTCAACCCATTTTAAAGGGATGAAGTTTAATGATTGATATTGCTTTAACATGTTTTTAACAGTCCTTTTAGTAGACCCCCATAAATATCTCTGTATGTTCACGTACATCTTTTCTTCCTTAATCAGAAGCAAAAATACTTAACTTATGAAGAACCCTAACTATTGCTAATACCTTAATTCTACAAATATTTTCTTGTTTGGAGCACCTCAAACTTCTGTTTAAACCTTATAACATGCCTAATAGGAAATGCATAATTTACCCTCTGAATGCTAGATGAAGCCTCTGAAGGCCGTGATTGTTTCTCCCTGACATCAACTTCAACAATTGCTCCATTTCGAAACCCACACAGCACAACATTTCCCTGCAATTGGCAGGCAAAAAAATAAAGAAAGAAAAAAAAAGGAAAAAAAGGAAAAGCTAGACCTTGTTAATATATAGCTAATCATAGTTTATCTTCCTGAATTAGTAAAGATGATAAACATATAGTTTGTGTTTGATAAAGTAACTGGCGACTGGCAAGTTACATAAGTTGAGCACAAAATTACACAAGCCATTAGCATTATTTAATAGTGATTACTACTACGGTGCACAAGATGCGTGTATGACACAAAATGTGGGGAGTGTTTAATCATGACACAAAATGTGGGGAGTGTTTAATCACGAGAACAGATGGTTTAAGTCATCTTTGATTGATTTTTTTATTGCTTTTTCCAAGCGTAAAGGAATTATTGTGATTTTTTCCAGATGCCAGAGCATTCCCTTTGATGTTGTCAAGTGTAAGGGCATTTTACATAGTTTTTAAGTGTGAGAGCATCTACAATTAATTTTTTCAAATATAAGGGCAATTTAAGAATTCTAAAAATGTGGCTACAATGACCAAAAGGGACAATTAATTTTTTCAAATATAAGGGCAATTTAAGAATTCTAAAAATGTGGCTACAATGACCAAAAGGGCATTTTACAGATGCCAGAGCATTCCCTTTGATGTTGTCAAGTGTAAGGGCATTTTACATAGTTTTTAAGTGTGAGAGCATCTACAATTAATTTTTTCAAATATAAGGGCAATTTAAGAATTCTAAAAATGTGGCTACAATGACCAAAAGGGAGACTTTTCTTAATATATAGTATATGAATAAACTGTCTAGAAGAGAAATGTACAATATCAACACATCAATTACATGCACAAGCATCTTCTGGTGACATATAAATCGAAGTATTATGCAAACAAAACTATGAGTTTCCACAGTAAAGCAAGTAACCACGGGATTGGGTTG